ATTGAGTGGTTTTTTTGTACTTGTGTTGCATATTTTTATAAGAAAACCTGGGATTCCGTCAGCTCCCACTGAGGCTTTGCCCTTTAATTTAGATGCTTCTATGACAGTTTCTTCTTCCAAGATTGGCCAAAAATACATTGAATTTGGGTTTCCTGTTACAACTTTTTTAACTATATTTCTTTGGTCTTACTCTTATTTTTCTCCACGAGTTCTTTAACTTTGTCTATAAAATATGAGTTCAGTGTGTCAGCCACCTCCTGGGGGTGGGATATTTTCGTGTTATATCCTTGTAACCGAATCTCCTGGTCATCCTTTCCTACTTTGCCCATTCTTTTATTTATTATCTGCCATATTAGTTTATTTGGGTTAGATGCCCCTTCTATCCATTTATCATTTTGTCTCTTTTTTTGCTTCTAAAATAACCCTTTTATATCATATCCTTTGATAACTACTGATACAGCTTACTATTTCAATTGGCAAAGCTATCCTCCATTTTAAATCGCTTAAAAACCTCATTTTCCAGCAAGATATTTTTATTCCTTTTGATATCAATTTCTTATTCTTAGTATAGCTCTTTATTACTGGTTTCAGTGGAAATACTTGATTAAAATAGTCTAAGATTTTTTTTTTATAAATTGCTTATATGTCTCATTTACACATCTTTCCACATATATTTCCCCCCAATATTCACTAGTCAACAAAGTTATAAATTTAGCAATATTGTCCTTGGTATACTTTCTTTTTAAAGCTTTTTCCTCTCATTATTACATTTGTCTATTAATACCCATAAAATCTGGGCCAAATGAACCAAATATCCCATATTTATAATCTCAGTGTAATTCTTGTTAAACTCTCTATTTAATACCACCATATCTAACAGTAATTCCGAGCTACTAGTAACTCTTGTTGGACTGAAGACTATATTTATTAAATCATAAGACACTATCAAATTTTTCAGTGAATGGACCTGCTCATTTTCCTGGAGCAGGTTTATATTCAAGTCTCCACAGATTATTAATTTTTTCTTGTTTTTGTGTATTCTCTCAGTGAGAGATTCGAGTTTCTTCAAAAATATTTTCACATCACCTTGAGGGTGATCTCTAAATACATATCAATACCCATTTAAATTTTTCAATTTCCACACCTGATATCTCAAAGTTTTTTCCACTACAGAGTTCATTTAAAAATGTGACTTCCCTTAGGTTCACCTCTTTGTTTACAAATATACATGATCCGCCACTCTTACTTTGCTTTCTACAAAATTTACTAACCAGTTTAAACTTATCTATTTCTACCAAGGTTAGTGAGAATTCATCCAACCAATGTTCTGTAAAGCACAGTATATTTACATCCTGCAAGCTAGAATTTAAAAGTATTCTCAATTCCATGCGCTTATTCCATTGACTCTGAACATTATGGTGTAAGGTTGTGAACATATTATCTTTTAAACTCCCTCTCGCTTCCCATTTACTTAAACTGTTACTTATGTTTTCCCTTGTTATTTCCATAAAAAATCCAGGTTCCTTTTCTTTGGAACATTTCGGGGTCATTTTACTTAGGTTTCTACTTGTTTATCACACGTCAAAATTTCCCCAACCTGGTCTTCATTTACATGTCCATCACCATCCTGGGCCTCCTGGTTAGGCACATTCTGGTCATCTGCTAAATCATCATCCTCATCACTGGATACCATTATTTCTTCTTCCCTCCATTTCCTCTCAATTGGTGTTGTTGATAAAGAACAACTGTGACACAGTGTTTTGTGTGCAGTCCATGCTGAGGGTATATAGCCAGATCAGACAAGCAGTTGACAGCTAGAAAAGTCAGTAAGTGCAGGTATAGCCAGTGAGTGGATAGTAATAACTAGGAGGCTGAGAGTTCCAGTTGAGATTTGACAGTTGAAGTAATGAGTTAGTTATTTGTGAGACAGTCACCAGCTGGTAAGGATGTAAGCAGAGGACGTTGGGTGCCGTTACCATGCAATGGCTAAAGAAGACTTAGTGTCTGCTGTAGTGAGAAAGCGTGTGAATTAGCGAGAGCATTTACTTGTAGTTACAGTTCATAAGATTTTAATATATCTGATTACCAATCTAAACCCCTTATCTAGTCCCTAACATGTGGCGGCTGGTGTCAGAAGTGGGATAACTGAATTGGATTAATCAAATTGTTGGATTGTAGACTGCAGTAAATTTTAATATTATTATACTATGAAAATGGAGAAAATAATGAAACTCCTACTGGCCATTCAGAAAGAAATGAAGGCCAAGATGGATTCCAGCCTAGAAGTAATGAAACCCTGCCGTGGAAAGATGAAAGCCAGTCAAGAAAAGGTGATAGCCAAAATGAAAGCCCATTGAGAAGAAAGGAAGGCCATGAGGGAGCTCTGTTTCTCCCTTAGGGTAGCACTATGGAAGGGCACCACATGTAAAATCCACGCATGTGCTTACCACCCCTCAAGGCCAGGCTTCCAGTGTTCTTCATGGAGACCCCTAAAGGAGCAACATACAGGGAGAATGTTGGGGCAGCTGAGGACTGATTTGGGGACCAGCATCAGGCTGCAGAGTACCTCAGTCAACTGAAGATACAGACTCTAGACGCTGATGAACCCTTGCAGGAATTTTCCACCACCATCAAATGAATGACCCACCTTACCCCTCCCACAAGACATGAGGGCCACATTCATAGAGGACTAGGCAAGGCATTCAACAGTGGGTTAAGAGACCAAGGCATAAATCAGCAGCTGCTTCTGGTAGGCAAGAGGACACTCAAAAAGGCCCTGAGGCAGACTTAAGGTCTGGAAGTTGTAAAGCTAACAGTCTGGTCTTCCATCAGATTCCAGAAAACAAATGACAGGACATTGTGGAGGAACTGGCATTCTCCCAAACAGAAGAAGAGACTAATGCCAGATTAAGTGCCAGTGCTATAGAAGCACGGGCCACTTCCAGTTGTTATGTCTCCACAGTCATTAAGAAAAAATGGTGACGCATTGGTAGGCTGCTCAGAACGAACCTCCTTAAGGAGGGAGCAGTGTGACGTGATGACTTGAAAGAGACAGCCATTGCTAGGCTACGGCCAGTAAACAAGCTATTTTTTGTTATGCAGTGGATGATAAACAATGGCAATAATGTGTTTTTATGCATTCCATGCCAAGGCTATATAACCAGACCAGACAGGCATTTAAGTAGAGTGTCCATGGTTTATGCTAACCATCTTACAGTGTATCCACTTTTTCACCTTATTCTTCACTTCCACACTACATGTTTCAGCACTAATGTGCCATCCTCATGTGTCTTTATGCATGTTAAACTATTGTACTGCATGCCATGGTGTCTTCATTCTAAAATGACTAAAATCTATATTCGTCATATATGTTGATGAATTCTAAATAATAAAACTTTTCAGGATTCATCCTACGTCACATTCAAACACGTGAATTATGCCAATCCTCTTTTATGTGAGCATTCTTCCTACATGCATTTGTGTATCGTGTTCTGTGTTGTGTTTTGCTCCTGTTACTGCATGTGTTGTACATGCAGTACATTCTGTACCAATAGGTTCTGCAGAGGGCTAGCCAGGTATTATCAGTATATCAGCAATGGCTAATGGCTTCACCATTGTGTAGATAATCCATTGGTCTGGTTCTGTGGTGCTTTTACCACTGTTAATCTATGCACCTTTCATTAGGTGATTACTGGTTATTTTTTGGAGTCAGGCTTGCTCAGTTGGTATTGCTCTGGGCCATATGGCCAAGGCTCGGTTCCCAGCAGGGGCGAGATTTTTCACTTTTCCACAGCATTTTATTTATGTATGAAGTAAAAAATAAATATTTTGATGGCTTTAGCTGAATCGTTATCTAGCCTGTTTGAATTATATAAGGCTGCAACTTTCTTAAGAGGAGTTTTGAATAAAATTTTACAAGGCTTTGTTGCAGAACAACTTACACATACATAAAATCTGAAGGTTTCACAGTGGTTAAAGTCAGAAAAATCTTCTCCATGTCAGTTGTTTAAAAATTACTGATGTTTCAGGGACCATGTCTCTGTCCCAATCATCAGTGTCTGATGTGACATAGGATCCAGACTGGCCCACAGGTTAGCATATAGGTGGGACTGTTTAGATCCTGTCATATCAGACTCTGATAATGAGGATAGAGATGGTCCCTGAAACACTGGTAATTTTTAGCAACCTGACACAGCTGTTAGCCAGAGAAGATTTTAATGACATACACAAATCATTGCACTTTATAAAACAAAATTTTCAGTTTACTTCTATATTTCTTTTCTGTGTGTCTTATTATCAGTTGTGAATTAAACCTTACCTATTAAATTAATATACTAGTGCACATGGTGTTTTTTCAGCCCATTTTTATGGGTGTTATAATTTTGAATGATATGTTACTATTTTGGAAGGGACAGGTTCCTTCTAATGTTACTAAAACATTAAACAGGTTTTTAAGTTATGTTGGATTTCAAGTCCTCACTGCATTGGCTATGAAGAGTTCCATCTTCTGGGATATAACACCATGTAGTCCACTGAAAGTTAGTGGATGTTTGAGAGGAACATATCACCTCCATCTTCATCCTGATTTCTTATTTGGCTTACTCTTCAACCCTGAAGATGGAGATATGTTACTCTTGTATGTCAATTCACATTCACCAGGCTACACAATAGTAGATTCCAGAAGACAGGACTTTTCAAATTTAAGTTGGGTCAACATTTTCCACATTTGCATCATGTTATTGATAAGCTGAGATGTGACTAGTTTGAACAATTTAGAAACCTTGATTTTATTATACAAGAAGTTTCTTTGGCAAAGAAAAAGTAATGCTTTATAATCACAGATGCAGCAGGCATACTGAATCCTTTGCTGATATTAAAGTGTGTTCACTTTTCCCCATCAGAGCAATTTTTTGCACACGAGCTGTACACATTTTATTCCATATTTTTGTGCAATCAGCTTTTTTGAGAATGTGTAATTTAATCTGATTGCTCTTTTACAGGGACCAGAACAAATATAAAGAAGCAGCAAATTTGCTAAATGATGCCCTTGCCATTCGAGAGAAGACACTGGGAGAAAATCACCCAGCAGTAAGTTGACATTTGTAATACTTGTAACTTCATGCTTGAAGTTGTGCCATATCATTTGATTCAGTCACAAAGTAATGTCAGTTCATCAGCTGCATCTCAGTCCATCATACCACTGTTATACTAGCATATAAGGGAGACCCATCTGCTCCGGGATACATTAGGAGTTCACCCTACTGTAGGTGTGACATGACATTTCCCAGCACATCAATAGCATGAGTACAGGTGGCCTGAGAGTTCATAAGGATGGGGTGATTGCAGCATGCCTAGAGTAAAAGCTTTGCTACATTTTAAATTACTGAAGCCTTACAGCAGGACGCAAACCATATTTGGCAAAAACGTTAGGACACACAACAAGGACGAGTAGGAATCTTCAGATTTTGGGTGTTGGTCAGAAAAGTATAAATTCTTGCTGCTTGATGACTCTTGAGTGATTTTATTGTGGAGGGTTTGGTCACTGGACCCTGTGTTGCTTCATGCAGTGATGTTTACTTTGTTCATCAGTCTGAAGCTACAGGCTATGTGATTGCATATTGTCTAGTTTCTGAAGGGTCTTGGTCTGGTTCAGATTTGCAGTAGGTTGATTTTTAGTTGAGGTGCTTTTGATATGTTTAGGGAATGTGACAGCATGTTTGTTACCTGGTAATTTCATTCAGTGCACCCTAAAGGTATGGTTTGATATGAATTATACGGTTCATTCTTACTTCATTCAGTGATCTGTTTTGAATGTATTAGTTTTCTTTGTAATATATGTAGTTTTTTATACAGGGGGGGCGCAGAAACTTCCTTTTTTTGAAGGTGAATAAAAGAAAAATTATTGCTGATAGACAAAATTTATGTTTAGCTAATGAAAGAACATACTTTAAAGTTTTAAATCATGTAGTTTTAAACAAAATATCTTGAAGGTTATGGCCACCATTCTCTATGCACTGATGCAACCATTTTCTGAAGTTCCCCTCTGCATGTTCCAATATGTGTACCGGAATTTGGGCTACTTCCTGCTGAATATTCTTCAGCTGAAGCAGGTTTGTGGGGTGATGTTTAAAAACCTCTGCCTTGAAGTATCCCCCAAAAGAAAAATCACAGGGCGTTAGATCAGGTGAGTGCGCTTCCCACGGGATTTCACCTCGAAACGAGATGAGCCGTCCGGGGAACTTTGCCCTCAAAACTGTCATCGAAGCTCGGGCTATGTGGGCCTTGGCACCATCCTGTTGGAACCAGACATTTCCTAGATGCATTTCTTCAAGAGCTGGTTCAAAAAAGTTTTTAATCATGTCCGCATACCACTGTGAATTTGACAGTAACTGCATGATTGTCTTCTTCTTCAAAAAAAGGGCCAATAACTCCAACTCTCGACAACGCACACCATACTGTCACCTTATCACTGTGAGGTGGCCTCTCATGGAGCTCTCTGGGATTGTTGCCACTCCAATAGCGCATATTCTGCTTGTTGACATATCCGGATAGGTGAAAATGTGCCTCATCACTAAAGAAAACAAGTGCGTCAGGGGGTAAAGTTTCCAATAATGTTCCGCACGCCGTTATTCAGTTCTGGAAATCACGTGATGGCAGTTCTTGCACAACAACCATCTTATAGAAATGGAAATGAAGATGTTCATGAAGAATTCGGCAGATTGAACGATTGGATATGTCTAGGGCGGTGTTCCGCAAGCTTTTTCTACTCGCGGCAAACCATGAAGTATCCATGACTCAACACAGCACACCAAAATGTTATTCCCCTCAAAAACACATGATATCAGACAATTAATATAAATATTGTAGCTTGTTTCGTTACTGAAGACGCCGTTCGGATTGTTAACTGGTTTATTCAACAATCTACAACTATCGGCTACAATTAATTATAACAATGTTACGGGTTTCCACTCTTTACAAACCCTACAACAAAATCTCTTAACACTATCTTCAAGAGTCTTCACGTATTAATAACGTGGGAGCTATACAAGTCTCCCTGAATTACACACTCCAAGTATAACTGGTTATCACTGGTTATCGCACACATGTCTGTAGCTCGTAACTTGCGAACTGAGAACTCGTTGATAATACACTCGCTCGTAGGCTTGCTCGGAGACTAACTCGGAACTGTCTTCGATGATGGCCACATTACAACTCTACTCGGCGACTGTTACTTTACAACTCGTCCGTAGCTGCTGTGCAGTTCCCTTATATAGCCGCAGTGGTGCCTGTTTCGTGACACGTCACAGGAGTTGTTGGCTGCTGCCTGGCAACCGCGATATCCCTTGGTGATGTCACCGCTGTTGACTCGCGTTGCATAGTTACCAGGTTGCGGGAGCTCGGCTAACTCCGCCTCCGCTCCGCTCGTGATGTCACCGCTCAGGGAGAGTGGTGGGGTGATGACTCGCCTATTACGCGAGCGCTACGTTACCGCTACGTGCCGCTGGGGAGGTAGGGGTCAACATGTCACAATATGTAACATGATCAACTTATTAGTATAATATTATTATATTGTTATTTTATTATCATTAAACAGAAATTGACTCGTGCATTTATTAACAATTAATGAACCTCAGTTCACTGTAGAGTGTAGAAAATACACTTCTATTACTATTAAAGTAAATACAATAATTATACTCATACCTTCAATGTGATACTTGCGCCTGCGTAGCTGCTCACAGGCGACTGATCCGTGGTGGAATCATTGACAACGCAAGTCTCATTTCTTCATCAATGGATTTGAGCCGCTCCCTCTTTGATGTCTTAATTTCAGTTAACGTTGAGAAGCTCAATTCACACAAATATATAGTGAAAATGGCAATAACACATTAACTGCCATCTTGGAGATAGCCAGGTATCCACTCCTTATTGCCAACCAAAACGTATCCAAAGGCACTTCGAGAAGTTTTAGTTTCAGTGTTCTGTCTGCTTTTAAATCTGCGAGTTCGTCTTGTATATTAATCGGAAGATGTTCTGAATTCACAACAAATGGATCATGAACCCAGTCAAAATCTTGTACATTCTCTCCAAAATACTTATTTAATTTCAGCTGCAGCATTTCTAAATGTTCTTTAGTTGTGTCCATCACCACTTTATTGCCATCAGCAAGTGGCCATACAGTTGGGGACATCTCAAACGACCCATCTGTAATTCTCTAACTAACAACAAAAATTTGCAAACTACTTCAGAGCACAGCTGTGATAGAACTGAAACAATTGTAAAATGCGGGATCTCTACTCTTCAAATGGAAGAAGTGACACTATACCGACTTATTTTTTTATATGAAGTCTAAAAATCGGTGGGTGCATCGTTACAGGAAGAAAGTTTTAAAGTTGAAGAAGCTCTAACTTCTAACAAACAGGGGCAAATACCAAAACAGCGTTATAAAAGACAGGAAAACCCATGCTAATCCCTGCACTGTTAGGGAAAAGCACATGCACAGAACATGTGGCAAGCATATCAAAGAAGCCGTGTAGATGCAAGAAAAATAAAAATTAATGAATAATGAAAACTATGATATAACAACTGTGAGTAAATAATTTATGTTTAATTTCTTAGAATACAACATTACTGTACATAAAAATCACAGCATGTAATAAAGAATAAACAAGCCTCATCTTATTTAATCAGTGCAGTGGCTGAGAATAAAATACAAGCATATGAAACACAGTAACTGGGATAAAATAAAACGAATAAAATTTGACAATTAATTTCTTACAATAGGTAAAAGTTCGCGTCACACCTTTCACCTTGTGATGGCACACCGGTTGCAGAACACTGGTCTAGGGCAACTGCATGTTTGCGAGCGGAGCGTCTTGGAGATCTCAAAATAGACTGTCGAACTGCCTCCACATTTTCTGACGTAACGGTCCGTTGTCATCCTGATGATTTTTTCACCACACTCCCAGTTGTCCTAAAGTTCTCTACCCGCAAAACAGTTGATTTCCAGTCGGGAACTGGACCTCTGGGCTTAATTCTGGAGTACGGAACTCATGCTGCATCACCACGTAGGTATGGTTGTTCGAAAAATAGGCTTCGACAGTAAACACACGCTGCTCACTCGTCCACCTCATGTTTCCTACTGAGGGGTATTAGACAGAAACTTCCGCAACTGCTGCGTTCGCCAAGCCTATCCCCACTATTCTGTGACCTCCCCTCCCTTCACAATGCATTTTCACAAAAGGGAAGTTTCTGCGCCCCACCCTGTATAATATACTTATCTTCATGCCCTAATCAGTTCAGTTATTGTCATAGTACAGCACCCTTCTCTCAGAGATTCCCTCATCCCTACTAGTTCGGACCAAGGAAGGGTGTGGGATATCCCATATAACACCACCCAAGTTATTTCTTCTTTCAACATTGTCTTCTCAATTGTACTAGCCACCAACATCTAGGTTTTTGTCAAGGTCATCATCTAGACGGTCATATTTCCATAACTTTATGCACTGTACCATTCCTTATATACATGGTGATTCAGTGTCTTATGGCTAGACTTCAGGGGGTCATTAAGGAGATAATTTGGAGCAGAAGATATGAATAAATTATTTCATTCATCACTCTTGTCAAATTTTTGTTTTGCCACTTTTCAACACTTCTGCAGCAATTTAATTGCCATTTAAATTCCAAAGTACAGCGTGCTTAAGGGTTTATGGAGGTGTACTAAAAAAATCATAACCATCTCAGTTCCTGTTAGGTATGAATGTTAACTTGTTGCAAGTATGGGAAAAATAATGCACTAAAAATAAATATAATACTTATATGAGGTTTGAAGCTCTTGTGACTGAAGAGTATTTTCTTCTAGGATATGATGCCATGTTAAGCTGGTAGAGGTTTGCAATAATTTTTTAACAACTTACTGCTTTCGTAATCGGTGTCAGAGAGTAAGCTGGGCAAGCAGGCTTACATTTGAATGTGTAATCATGTCAGTGGTTTAAATATTTACAGCTGTACATACGATGATTCAAATGTTCACAGGTACACACAGTGACACTTCATACACATGTAATAATTATTTTCAATTCACTTTCATTATGAGTGCAAGTCTTACACACTGAATATCTAGCAGTAATACTCTAGACTTATATTTTGATGGTGCTTGGAGCAGGTCTTGGCTTGTACACTTGCTATCCTTACAAAGGTTTCTTGTGATTTTCATGTGTCCCTCCAAGCAAATACTGGGATGTTACATCATTAGGCCATGGCTGCTTCCTTCCATATCCTCTTAAGTTCATCAGCCCTATCATCTGATGTGATATAGTCTTGATACTGACAGCATTGTTAAATAACCAACTATGAAAATCAGACACCCCTGGAAGATAGAACTTTTCAGATGTGGATTCAATCTTCATTTTTAAAATGTACCCTTACTATTTCATTTTGTATATTTATCAATTTTATTTATTTATTTGTTGTACAAGGTACAGTAAAATTCCTATGTATTGAATCTCTGTAAGAGTGACTTTTTTACATTAAATCATATTTTCCATAAATGGCAGTTATATGAAATTATGTCAAAATATTCATCTTATGAATTTTATTTTTAGTATTTATTGGAATAAAATAGTTTCTTTACATGAGTAGTTTAAGAAATTGTTTCTACACAGATAAATAATTAATGACATGTGAAATAAACACTGAAGAATTGTCAGTTAAGAATGAAAGCAAGTCTTATGCCAAGAGTGGCTTGAATTTAGTACAGGTTAAATATATGATGATGTTACTTGCCAGAGATTGCAGTTTTGCAGTAACAGTATCCCGCAGAAAAAATAAACGTCAATGTTAGTGCTTTTTCAACAGCAGTTGCACAGAACTGAGATACAGGTTCCAGAAATTAAAAACAAAAGTATGCTAAATGTGGGTTATTCACTAAATAAAAATTTATGAAATATGGGAACATGGCATACTTTATATTAGGCTTCAGCTTGGACCAGAGAAAATATTCCCTAAATACACTATTTACCCAGTATGGTAACATTAAAGTGGGATTTCACTGTATTTGTCTTTAAATCCCCACCCCCATTCTCTCCATTCAGATTTCTTATTCTGTATTTCATAAAAATCTTATTTCAGCCACCATTAGTGTACTAATATCTGCTGTGGTCCATGTTTCTGCTCCAAACATTGATATGGACATACAGTAATATCTAAATAAACATACCTTTCCCATCTTCAGCATTTCCCATTTCAAAGTGCATCCAGAAGTAATTTGTAAAATTTTCATACATTTTTAATTCATTCTGTCATTTGTTCTTGTACTGCCCCATTTGTCAGTATTTTACATCTAAGTGTTCAAAATTCTCCACCATATTTCATGATTTTTTCATGCTGTCTTTTGTATGTCTCCTAGCTAGATTATTTTCCAAACCATATATTTATCCAAATTTATTTCAGAATCTTTACATTCTAATAGAAAAATTTCATAGAGATTTATTCTGTTCTCATATATTGATGTCATTTGCATATACCAGAGTGTATGGTATCAACTAGCTTGCTCAGCTGTTGTTCATATTAATATCTCACTCATTAGTACGAGTATGTTGACCGATGTGGGGGATAAAACATTTCCCTGTCTAAAGTGTGGAAAGTTTGAAAGCATTCAGATTTTTGCCATATGTGATCATGCTGCTTTCATATTTCTCATAAATGTTCTTTCTTCATTAGTCCTTTGGAAATTTCAATCTTTTCCAGCTTTCCTGTCCGTTTATTAACATATTCCTTTGCAATATCAGTAAGAGGCAAGTATGTCTGTAGAATCCCCTGCCCCTCTTTGTTTGTCCTGTTATCAGCTAACTATGAAAATTAAATCAACTTTTGACCTCTTATCTCTGAAACTGTATAGTTCTTCTTGCAGTTTGTTATCTATATGTAAGATTTGAGGCTTTCACGGCAGTGACTATGAAGAAAGCAGTCTTCTGGGATTTGGCACCGTGTATATGTGGTGTTAACCGACGTTTCGGAGGAATGTATCGCAGACAGTTTGCTTTTACCCGTTCTCACGGTCTCTTCACTTGCAGATTTCTTATATTTTTTCTTCTGCCCTGAAGATGGAGGCGATACGTTCCTCCGAAACATCCGTTAACACCACATATACACAGTGCCAAATCCCAGAAGACTGCTTTCTTCATTGTTATCTACATGTCTTCTTAATTTCAAATGTACAATTCTCCTGTTTTTTAAATCCTGGCTGAAAAATTAAAGAGAGTAATGTTATGTTCATTATGGAAGCATTCTGAGCTATATTATTTGTGTTCTGTTACAAAATTTTTATTTTGTCTCAGGTGGCTGCTACCCTCAACAATCTAGCTGTTTTATATGGCAAACGAGGGAAGTACAAGGAAGCTGAACCCCTCTGCAAACGGGCACTAGAGATTCGAGAGAAGGTCCTTGGAAAGGACCATCCTGATGTGGCCAAGCAACTTAATAACCTCGCACTCCTGTGCCAAAATCAGGTATTATACCCTGGGTCTATCCTACTTGATAATATCGCCTATACATTAAGGCTAGGAATGGAATTCCTGTGGAAACATTATTAAGTTTTCTTTCTCTATTCCAATTCCTGCAGTCAAATTGTTTTCACACACACACACACACACACACACATATATATATATATGCTGCAGAAAAGTAAAATTATTGTCCCACATGGTAATTATCGTTTCTTTCTCTGTTCTAGTTCCTGCAGTCAAATTGTTTTTCATATATGCATGCTGTAGAAAAGTAAAATTATTGTTTTCTGACATTTGTAAGTACAAAGACATTAATATATACGCACATTCCTTTTACTCTGCATTGTATAGGGAAAATATGAAGAAGTTGAGAGATACTACCAGCGGGCCTTGGAGATATATGAGTCAAAGCTGGGACCTGACGACCCCAATGTCGCCAAAACAAAGAACAATTTGGCATCATGTTACCTGAAACAGGGCAAGTACAAGGAGGCTGAAATCCTATACAAACAAGTGCTGACACGTGCCCACGAGCGGGAGTTTGGCACCATTGATGGTAAGTGACAACCCATCAACCCTTGTATCATATTTGTCTTCCATGTCCTTCATATTTCCTACCACATTGTATATATTTGTTGAAGATTTTGCTGAAAGCAATTAACGACTTCAGGATTAAAGACAAATATTCCGACTTATTTTGTGAATAGCCTAGTAAAGTTTTGAAAATGGAAATTTTTTATGTTAGTGATATGCCTCTTAATATATATGAATTATTATGTGTACTGTAGTAATTTATGCACTGCTGCTTTCAGACAAAAAAATTTCTATAAAATGAATTAAATACTATATTTGCACCACGATTTTTTAATTACAAAGATGTAAATATAAATTAATCGTGTAACTCCTATGTTTGTGTACTGCCTGCCCACAATCTGCGTGCTATCAGTTCAGACAAACCCATTTTGAGTTTTCGAAAGGAATGCATGCAAGCGTTTACACTTTCTAAATGTTTGAACTATGGAAACATTGATGTGCTCATTCCTATGAGCAGGTAGCCCAGACCTTAATATTCATATTAGAAAGGAAAGAAGAAACAGCTAAGAGATAAAGAACTCAGTCAGTGGCATCTGCACACTTCTTTCTGCTAATATTTGCTTCGGGTTACTGTAAAAATGAATTCTGTGTTTTTGGCAAATTGTAGCTCAAAATGTAGGCCATCATCTGCTATGATAGACCCTTAAGTCTCCAGTTATATATTTTTATTGAATGTGCCGAATTGGTGAATTATTTTGTTTGAAAGTATTTAGTGAAATGAAAAAGTACAACCTACAGCAACCCTATGTTCAATTTCTATGAATGAAAAGTCAGAAATATGTGTTTTTGGTAATTAATCAATAGGTCTAAGAGAAATTAATTTTTGTCCTTAAGTTATCATGGTCTATGTGTAATGTATAATTCAGAATTCAGGGTTTGTGACCATCATATATCGAAGCTCGCCCACTTTGGTGCACATTGCGGTCACCGTCTTTAACATACAATGTGGCTAAACATCAAAATCTGAACAGTGAGCTTTTGCAAGTGCAGTAATGAACGTTTCAGTATTATGGAAGTGCTATGTTCCATCATGCCACAATTTATGGATTATGTTTCTTAAACAAGGTTAGAGGTTGTTCTTGTTTTCAGCATTGTCCTTTTTGCCACTTGTATTGGTGAAAATCATCCTTCCATTGGCTGTAAAGGTGTAAAGTGTTCCAGGTTAGTTAGAGAAAGAAGTGATTGAAGTGACAGGGAGATAGCTGATACGTATATAATATATTGTAAATCATTTCTGATAAATTATTTTTCATATGGTAACACATTTTTTAAAGGACTCTTTGTCTTCTTTGGTCCTTTGTATCCTCTGCAGTGATACTACTTCCAGGGAGCAGTTGAGGATGTCATCAATTTAGTACAAAGAATAAGAAATATTTGTAGATATTATTAAATGGTGGGCTTTAAGTCTTCCTCTATAGTAAAGTAAGTAAGTAAAGCTATCCCTGTGACAGGCCCTGAAGGCCCATAGGGTTGTGAGACGTTGAGGGTTCCACATTATCTAGACAATCAGCTCAAAGATGGCGGCAAGGTTATCAGCCTTACACACCGGCCGCCCTTTACTCCCCAGGAAAATTATTTAATTAATTCCTGTTACTGATTCCTGTTAGAGGCTGAGTCGACCCCAGGGTCATAGTGCGGCTGGAAGGATTAGTAGAATTAAAAATTTTAAATTGTGTGTCTGGACGCAGTGAATATTATTAGAAGCAATTTTGAATTAAATGTAATTACTCATGGTCTAAAAGCAATTGAAAACCAATCGTCTGTGAAGAAAATTGCGTTTTTCTTCATTAACCAATTTGAAATTTTACAGTGTTCTGTTTCCAAATAAACCCTTCTTAGGCAAGAGGCATGCATTATGAAATAAAAGCAACTTTACAGAATCAAAGGAATGTGGTCCAGTAACCGCATTATAATGACATTTGCAGTCGCACATAATCCTAGCCCTCGTTAGATGACGATGCAGTTGGTAGGTTTATAGTCCAGTAAATTTTCAGGGTTATGTTGTTGTTGTTGTTGTTGTTATTATTATTATTATTTACTTCATATCCATGGATCATTATACATGATATAGGACAAGTCAAATACTTTATACAGTAAAACCTGTCTTAAACAGAATCTCAAGGGACCAGAAAAAATTTCCGCTGAAGTCAGGTTTCTGTTTAATCAAGATATACTATAATAACTAAACCATGACATAAACATATTTGAGACAAAACAAAACAACATGCTCATTAATTTATTCACACTATAATCATTGAACACATGCAAACATTACACTGAACAGGAAAAAATTGCAGTACTCACTTTTTATAATTTTACCAGAACTCCAGCAGAGTTTTTTGCACACAGTTTACTCTCTTGGCTGCCTGACTTTCCATAAACACTTTAGCTTGAGAAATTAGAGTAAGCATGTCTGAATCATTCCGTTGCACGGCAAACTCCTGCAGTACCTTTAAACTGTTGGCAGCATCCTGATAAGTCTTCACTCTACACTTTTCTTCTTCTATCACAATGTCATTTTCCTCTTCTTCTTCTTCCTCCTCCTCCTCTCTTCCTTTTCGATTTTCTCTAAAATTCTCAACTAATACATCGATATCCATTGTGTCTGGTTCTGTTTGCACATCTTTGTCTATGTTGATGTAGTCCTCAGCATTGCAGTTACTGAAAGCAGCTTCATTCATGCAATGTTGTAAGTCCTTCTGGTCATTCTCATTTTCTACACTAAGAGTAACTTCTACTATAGAAAATCCTGCTTTTTCGAAACACTTTGTCACAGTTTCTGGTAACAACTTCTTTACTGCTTGGCTTATCCAAATAACCGCATCTAGAACCGAGACAGTCCTTGCAAGTTCAGAGGCGGATGATGTAGAATCTTTATTGACGAGCAAAGATTGCATTAATAATTTACGATAGTCGACCTTAACATTCCGAATGATGCCCTGATCCATTGGTTGAGAAACACTAGTGGTGTTTGGAGGGAACCAAGCAAGTCGTACGTTGGAAAGTTTGATATGGGGGTGGCATGTTACGTTATCCAAGAACAACAAAACATGCCAGTTGTGCACTTTCATTCTACCATGAAGGCCGTTAACCATTCCTCCATGATCTGTGACGTCATCCATGCCCACTCAGCGGGAAGTTTCTGTATGTCCATGTTTCGGAAGCATCGTGCCTTTGCTGCCTTGCCAGTCACTAATGTTTTCACCATTTCACCTGATATAAAACCACATAGAAAAACAGTCAATATTTCTTTGCACAGTTTTCCTCCCAAACATTTTTCACCTTTCAGACATAGCGATTTATTCAGAAGCGAGTGGAAGAACAGTCCAGTCTCATCACCGTTCGCTATGTTTTCAGGTTCATATCCCTCGATTATGGATGGCAATTTAGCTTCCCATTCCTCAGTGGTCTCACTATTTACATCACTTGATTCACCACAAAGTTCATTAAAAACTATCCGATGTCTTTTGCGAAAACTCTCCAAACATCCGTTAGATGCTTTGAATTCAGTCTTCCCCAGTTTTTCAGTGACTTTTTTAGCATATTCCTGTACCATTGGACGTGACAACCAGTGACTTTTCGCCCTCACTCTGACAAACCACTCGCACACTATTTCCTTAATGTCTACATTTGCAGTTTTCTTACGTTCTCTTTTTATTTTTCCATTAGCACAAGTTTCCCACCACTTCAGAATTTCCGTTTTCTTCTTTAGAATCTCATACACTTGAGTTTTACTGACGTTAAACATCTTCATGATCTGCTTAAGAGACAATTTATCTCGCTCACTCACATGAATCACTTTTAATCTTGTGTTAAGATCAAGCACAACTCTTGTCTTTGTAGCCATGATGACAACTGCTAGACTAAAGTAAAACTGTAGGCCTAGAGCCCTTACTGAATACAATTTCCAGAAGGGGAAAACAATTCTGCTGAATATCAGTGCAGGTAGTGCAGTACTGTTAGAAGCTTATTTTAAAGAGTTAAGGAAAACAAAATTCTGTAGAATGTATAGGATGCCTAAAATTATTCTAAACGATGCATTCCGGAAGACTGGAAATTTTCCGTATAAAGGCTTATTTTGATTTCCGTTGTCCGCATTAGACAGTTTCCATTTAATGCAGGTTATTTAACATCTTTTT